AATAATTTACGTAAATATCCGATGCAAATGTGCGTCGCATTTTTACTCTTTTAACACTTCGCACTTCCATCATTTTTTTAACTCACTTCACTGCTAGCAATACATTTTTTATGCATATATTTATGCGGAATGTTGCTTAAAAGAAATGACTTCTATTTTATTATTCATTGCATCGTATATAAGAATAGAAAAACTCTTGTAACAGAGTTTCATTACATTATACTTACTTTAATATTAATCTTTCATTTCTTCGAGGATTATGTTATTAACTTTTTCATTTCTAACATAATTCTATACAGCTACGTCTAACATAACCAAGCATATCCATATATTAAAGAATTATCTAGTTACTATTCACATAAAATTTCTATAAAATTATTTCTAAGAAAAATCTAATAATATTTACCAAAACTTTTATACCTGTACCGTAATAAATTTCATTAAACGAATACTTTCCGTTTCGATGCTTAAAAAACAATTTATATATATATATATAAAAAAGACCATTACAAATATCTATTATTATCATTCGATTAATCACTACATGTATAAATATCAATTATTAAAAAATAGATTATCAAAAATTAGAAATACAATGAATTGATAAGTCTGGTGCAGGTAATTTCACCTCATTTCTTTCAAGAATTTCTGGTCTGTAATTTCATTACACGTTTTCAACAGCATGCGTGGAAACAATTCTCAGTGTGAGATTCGTGGAAAATTGCGCGAACATAAATACGCAAAACTGAAAAAAAAAACGTTATACATTCGCGGCGGACTAAAAATCACGACGCTTCCGGTTTACGTTCGCCATTTCATGACCGTCGAGACGAGCGGGGTCCCTATGTTATATTACTGCTGCGTATTTATGCGTGTGTAAAAAAAAAATACACGTACGGATAACGCGCTAATACACACGTGGCCCTTCGGTCCGTCCATGCCGCGCCCCTACGCTTTTACATATGGAAAAGTACCCGTTTTAAAGCGACCACGCATGTCGAAGCTTTGATATTTTTTCGGAATTATCAATGATTTTGGATGACCCTTTATATCGTTTCGACTTTAAAATATTTCGTTACTATTTATGTCGCATATGCATTTCATATATGAATACAATTTTGATTTATGCCATATAAGGATTGCAAATTCCAAAATGTAATTAAAATGGCAACGAAACAAATACTGAAAACATATTAATTCAGATATATACCAAAAACAAAATACTTCTACATAATATTTTTCAAATGCACGATGGTTCAGAGTTACTGCAATAATATCTACACATAATTCTCATTTTAACGAATAATACTTAACTTTAATCTTGATTCGATTAATTCTTAATCTTTTTCTAATTCTAAGAATAAAAAAAAATTAAGAGTAAGTTGAATAGAAATTAAATTTAATCTATATTGGTGGAAGCAGGCATAAGTTAATTTCTTCATTATATATTAACTTTGACACTTTTTTTATTTAGACACTTTTGTTATTTTTATATTTCTTGTAATTTCGTCTAAATTTATTGCTACTTGTTTTATTTGCACGTGTAGAAAGAAGCAGGAGGGGGATGGGGAAGAAAACTCGGATTAATATGTAAAAAAATAGAGGTATTCTCCTGAACAAAAGTACTTTTTTCTTTTCCCTATGTATATCTACCATTGTTGGTTCATGGATAGGTTTAGTTTGCATCTTTGGGAAATCTACAGTTACACAATGCGACTGCACGATACACATTGGCAGGGGAAGAACGACAGAGGGAGAATATGTGGGTGTGCGGAAATGCAGATATTTGCCAGGAAATTGATAACTCGAATAAACTCGTCGCAAAACATTCAAACAGGCTGCCAAACGGTACGATTGTACACTCCAATCCCCGGCTACGAACCAAACACCGCATATCCCCCCCGATGCAACGGCTGTACATGCGTTCGCGGGTATGATGTGCGAGCGATACAATGCGTATATTACTTGCTCGCCGATATTCTCCGCACCGACGGCGAACTGATTACAGACCGATTTGCAATTTTATTTCGACTTCTAATCGTCAAAAGTTACTGACAGAATCTAACAATCGCTGTCAGTAACAGCGATTGAAAAATTAATTATATTGTTTCGTGTTTTATAACAATAAGTTTTCTAATAATAAATCTCATTACAACATATTCAAATGTAAATAATGTACACAGTAAAAAAAACATTCTGTATATTTGTGTTACGGTCCATTTAAGTCCAAATTTGGTTAAAATTTGGTGTCAAATTTTTAGTATATCCGAATGTTAATTTAACATAATACGATTGTGTTATTTGAATATTTTGTATTAAATTCATGTTCAACATTTCTTAAAATTAAACTAAGATAATTTATGAGCAATTTAAGTGATCAAATAACATTAAAATGTTTTATAAAATGTAAATTCTATACATACGAGATAAACAAATAAAATGTGCTAATGCGACACATTATAAATGTTAAATTTATTGAAACATGTTAATTTAACATATTACAAATATTAATTTTGATAAAGAAATATGATTGCTTACAACTTGTGTCTGTGTTACGTTTTCTGTGTAAATTCTTTTTAAATTAACACAAATTTTTCGTCTGTGTAACCATCACATTTTAAGAAGATATTAAGAAATTAGAATTATTCTATAACTATTATAAAATTATTACGAAATTGTAGAGACTGCACTAATCTCGCAGGAACGTATATTGTGAATTTTTTTCTACTCTACACATATAATAATATTATAAAATTTCGAAATGATAACGATTATTGAAATGATGATAGGCGATTATAGCAACTAGTGGATGCGGCCAAACACACGCATTACAGACGCGAATCAATATTAACTTGATATTTTTGCCGCGCCATTAGAGTCAAACAAACGCAATGTAAATTGCACGATACAGTCGCGTATGATTATTTGCCATAAATAGCGATGAAGCACGGGCACGAGCGTATGTCAACCGCGTCTCTATATGCACCCTTCACGGAGCGGTTCAAAAAGGACGTGAGTGTATAATGAAAATACCACACTATATATGGAGTATAAAATAGGTACGTATACGCGGCCAATTCGCATAACAGCGTCGACGTTTGAGATACATCAAACAATATATTAATAATATCTCCGGCACATCACAAATCACGATTAGCAATAAATTTTAATACATCAAAGGAATTTCTAAATAACAAGAGATTTAATCCAACAATGAAAAATATTTTGTTCCTTAAAATTTAAAACCTATTCAAATAATTAGTGTAAGAAAGAGAGAGAGAGAGAGTGGTTGTATAATTTTTAAAAAACTCATACAGCGTTTTCCGTAATTAAAATTGACTCTTCGCTCTCAATCATGCGAGTAATTTTCCGCAATGACTGTCCCCTGTTGCGTAACGCAACACGCCGTGCATCGCCACAAAGTCGGTATCAACTAATTAGCAACGCGCTAACGTCGAGCGGTACGGTGCGCGCGACGCGGTCAAAGGGCATCGTTATCTCTGCACCCCGAACTAAGCGAGAAAAAAAAAAGAGAAAGAAAAAGAACAGAAGGGAGAGACTTTTCGTGCGCCTCCAACCCCTTTCCTCTTTTGCAATCAAACGAAAATTAGCCGACGAAAAGCGAGCGAACTGACCATCGTACGCTTTTTCGCCGCGACGGTGAATTTGCACGGAGAAATGTACGATTTCTCACGAGGTTGCTAGATTCAGCGCACAGACCGTTTTTTTTATCTTGAGAGAAATTATTTTTACATTACGGATGAAAAAATCATTGATAATTTTTTAAAAAAAATTATTAAAAACAGTAACAGTTATAAAAATTATCATAAAAGAAGCTATTTCAGATCCCACACATACACTTGATGTTTTCCGTTTACATAAACGGAATAAACCAGATTATCCCACTCAGAAAGACACAAGAAAATTTATAAAGTTATCAGAAATTAATGTAAATTAAAAAATATCAATCAAATTTTGTAGCAATAATAATCAATTTCCTTTCATAATGAAATGATAAATGAAATATTTCACTAGATAATAATCTTTTTAGACAATTTGTTCCAAGTTCAATCAAATCTGATTTGAATTTTTCAAAAATATTATATCGCGCGTATTATATTATTTAAATTACCGTTATCTCAACAATGCGAATCCGAAGGAAGCCATACGTTGGAGAGCACGGAAAAAGCAGGCGACGGCGTCGTGACCGGGGAAAAATGGATGGCTCTATCTTTCGGTAATTAAGACAATGGCGAAAAATAAACAAACGCACAGAGAAAGAGAGACAGAGAGAGAGAGAGAGAAAGGACAAGCCCTCCGTGCGAACGCATCTCTTCGGGGCTGTCCGTGGCACAGCTGTTACGTTGCCGGGGGCTCAAATAAACGACTTAGGTAGATTAAGCATACAAATCTCGATGATTCTGCTTCTGGTGTAGCCGGCTTTAACCCACCCGTGCGTCGGGGTCAACGCGAAAAAATATACGGGTTGTCCACCCCGGCCGCCCGCGACTCGAGAAAGATCGAGCGTTCTCAAACAATACGGCATGTGTTTCCTTATCTCTTAAGATACATATCCGCGGTATATTTTGAAAATTTTGAATACGCAGCTGAGTTTGTTCAACAGGGATAATGTTTATGATAAACGGAGAAAATCCGTGTGGTTGTCTTTGAGATTACGTCAATAGGGGTATCTTACGAGTTGACGTAAAGATTTCAGTGAAATTTTATGCTTTTCTCAGAATAACATCTTACTAATGTATTGCCAAAGTTCAACGAACAGAATCGTATTAATGTTAAGAAAGATATTAAAATCGTACAGAAAGAACAGAAATGATCAATACGAATGATTAAATATTGAACATATGATAGCATAATGAAAAATGGTATGTAAAGAATAGAAATGTTAAAGAAAAATGCAAACGTGAGATCGATTCTATTGATCATATTGATCATTATCCGGTGAGAAAAAAAGCAAAAAACATGCATATAATAGAACTCACGTCTGTACGGTCGTCCCTCCTCCGGAGTGGATCGTTCAGTGTTCTCGGATCCTGGGGTGGCGTTGGCGTCACGGTCTTCCTCATCGGGAGTCGCACCACGATTCGGTCCACCGTACCCCCGCCGGCACCCGGTAGGGATGTGGGCGAGAACATATTCGACATGCTCGAGAGCGAGCCGATGCTGGGTAGGCCGCCGTTCCCCGGCACCGTGCCGTTCCCGGTCTCGACCTTGAGGCACTTGCTGGGGGGCGCGAACGCGGACGGCACCAAGGGCCGAAAGCCGCCGAAGGGCAGTCTATGATCGAGCGGATGCAGGAATTGCGGCGGCAAATGCAGCATGTGATGCAGCCCGTAGCCCAGCGATGCCGCCGTGCTGAAGGGCACCTGCAGATCTTTCGAATCGGTCACCTGGAAAACATATGGAAAACAAAATGGATTGATAAAAGATCTAACGGAATGATTTTTCGAGCCTCATTAATATGATTAGCATTGTAGGGATTAGTCAAATAAAAATGTAATATATTTTATAAAAAGTTAGTTCTTTCAGTTAGTTAACTTAAAGCCAGCGTTACTACAGTTGTTAATTAATTAATTAAGCAAAGATATTTCGTCTTGAGATATTTCCAACACACATTTATATAATAGATATGTTTAAATATTAAAATGTTGCAAATAACTTTATTTAATGAAATAGACTTTTCATATTTTTTATTTCGCTATAAAATTTTATGATGAATCTCTTTTTTTACATTCAGTTATAAGTCTCGTATGTCTTTAACCTCTGATTTCCTATTAATATTAGTGACATTTATAAAAGAAATTTTGACGTTTACTCCCGTTTCGAGAAACCGCCTTGATATTATCAAATTCGATAGGATAACTTTATTTCACGTATACGCGACGAGGGAAAAAATGCTTGAATCGCGTAATTCGATAGCTCATTTGCAGCATGAGGGTATTTCCGCGCTTTCAGCTACGTCTGAATGGCATATAATATCAAAGCAGCGTGGTGGTATACTGTTAATAACGCGAAACCACTGTGTTATAATAATCCGTCAAAACCTGAAGCTCTTCTCCCCCATAGTCCCCTACCACCCCTCCCGTGTACCGGTTGTATCATTCAATTCGCCGTGATTGACGAGTCTATTAAGCCGCATACTGAATGCTCGGCTGAAGCATCTACGCGTTGGATTTTGTAACATTTATAATGCCAGAATTATCGGATCGTATTAAACGTGGCCAAGTAATAACAGTGCATTGTATTTCCTATATGCCTAGACTTGTCGAAAAATGTAATGACGCGAGTAACAAGCGAATATTTCAACGTGTAATTACGTACAAGTACTTCATGACGTCGTACTTCAAAAAAATATTCAAAAAATTATTTTTTTAATTTATTAATAAATAAAAGGAAAACATATTGTTGTATTTGTAGTATCTCGTAGCGGTCCAAAAGATTTGATTTTGAAAAAAATTATTCACATTACTTTTATTATTTTAGATATTTCAGGATTATGGCGATTTTCTTTTCACTTAAATTTGCAACAATACAGTATCGACTTTAACACAAATTGGAATATTGTTGTGATAGTTAATATAGAAATATTATATGGCTCAATATCAAATTCATCTTAAATTATAAAAGCGCAAAGTGTGTTACTCGTCAATCGTCATCCCACGCGACTAAGAGGAACGGAAGTACGAAATGATTTCATCGGCGAGAACGGACAGCTGGTTTCCGGATAAACATTTCATTCGGCCGATAATGACGCGGGCGATGAGTTACACGCGCGGGTATTAGTACGCCGCGATTAGTTTATTATTCTTTTATACAGGGAAATGAGGTTCGCGTCCGCCGACTCGCATATTTGCGCCCGCGGTCCAATCAGTGATTTATTAGGTATTCATTATTATTTTAATTGCGGCCCCGGTCCTTTTTTCGCGATCGGTGTCGCGCGACGCGCGTCGCTTGCATATATTTGCAATAATCTTTTATTTTTTTCCCCCACTCGCTACCGCGAGCGGTAAAACGCGAGCGTATTTTGTCACCACGCCGTCACAATTAGGTTCGCCCTAAAATTATCTCATTTTTTAACGATGCTGAATTTTGATGCAACCCATTCTCTCGCTATCTCCCTCATTCCATCACTATCTGTATCTACCGTTTCGCATCTGCACGCGTTATCCAGACCCGATTGATGTCCCGCACGTATGAAAAATATTCAAGCATTTAAAAACGCTGTGGAATACGCTTATAATTAACCGCGATGCTCGTTCGTTAAATATTTGCGGCAATCACAGTTATGAGATAAAAATGTATGCGATATAAAATTGTATTTAAAAGAGTCTTGTTATTATCGGAAGTTTAATAACGGTATTTTTCGTAATTTGTTATCAATACGCGCGCGTTTTCATTACGTTACATAAAATTTGAAAACTGTAAGAAAATTACATAAGTTGATGTCACATTTTAATATAATAAAATAAATATTGTATAATTTAAGAATTGATTCTCTTTTAGAATTATATAAAATAATTCGCAGCTGCGCTCCATGAACATAATATTTATATAATTAATTCCAAATGTCACAGATCGTTGATCGTGTAAAAATACTTACTATTTCACTGGTTACCATTTTATTTTTCTTTTTTTATTAATGCTTACACTCTGTACGTCAATGATGCACAATCTACGTGTTTCTCTAATTTGTATGGTATATTTCTACTTTTAATAGTATAAAAACAACTGCTTGACGCGCTATAATTTTTTTATTTACATTTATATTTCTTAATTATACTCTTTCCATTTTATAATGATTGTCGATAAACAGACATTACACCTAAAACAAGGCAACAATTTGTCCGATGGAAGAAAGTTGCGCATCATTGACTTGATACTAACTGTTATTTGAGCATTCACATTTATACACACGCATACAATCAAATTTCTATTCATTGCGTGCATTAATTAGTACTCCCGTATATAAAAGCGGCATAGATATGCAAAGCGAGATGAAAGTAACTCGAGCAGTCCAACAGGCTCAATGAAATCAATGCCAACAATTATTTTTTTGTTTTTTGTTTATTTTGTACATATTTCAAGTTACTTTTCCGCCAAATAGTGACGTATGTTACCGTCAAATACGATACGCTCGAATTACCGCAGTGCAGTTTCGTTCTACGTGATGCAAGCGTGAAAGTGATTTAACCCTCCAATATAGTTCTCCAATAAATCTTACTCTTTCGTCGATTTTAATAGTTAAAAAATCACACAAATATAAATTTTACACGATTATGCAACGTCTAACTGAACACGCAATTCACGATACGTAAAGATATATCAGAGTCCAATCCAAATTAAATATGTCTCGAGTAATCAAGTTTATATACATTTATATATAATCACATTTTCTTCTTTATAAAAACATGAGAATCTTAGAACAGAAGAAAATCGAAATCTTTATCAGAGAGACAAAGGGTTAAAATACGTTTTTGACGCGTTGCAGGTAAGCGAAACGCACGCAACGCAATCGCGTAAATGCAACAAGCTGATGCAAAGGCTTATAGGCGTAAGGGTAAGGACAATGGGACACTAACTTGTGGATTGAATGGTCTTTGCATTCTCAAGGCCTCAGGCAGCCCTCCGGCCTGCGAGAACACGACCAAAGACGGCGGCGGTAGGTGATTCGGTACGTACGCAGAATTATCCATCTAAAACATATACGTCGTTTTCTTCCTATCCGTACCTCGTCGATTCATCGTTTTTCTATTCTAAATACGCTCGGCAACGCAAGACTCGAAGAGAATTTCGCGTAAACTCGGAATTTCGGAAACGCGACCGCGATGATCGGACATACCTCATCGATCGCGTTTATATTGGCTAATCAGTTATGAATTGTTAATTAAATTTATGAATTAATCTAACCTTTACAATTTTCATAGTTATGATGATAATGAATAGACTATGCGCGATTTATGCTTATTTCTCGATCGATGAATTTTTAATTTTATTTTTTCTCTTAATTTTTCCATAAATTTCGTATAAGAGCACATGTTTTTCTCAAAGCTTTCTCAAAGAAGATATAATCCAACAAGAAATTATTTTAGGCATTTATCAATTAGGCATTCGATGTCTTGATAATTGTTGAATTATTTTTTCTAACAGGCTGTCAAAAATTGAAAATTTATTTTTAATAAATCATTAATAAAAGAATTATTAATCCATAAAAACTGTGTAAAATTGTGTATTAAAATTTACACGTGATAATATTAAAGAACGCTTAAATTCAAAGAATGCATATGATGGATTAAAAATGGTACGTACATTCTGAACTTTTCTTTTGTTAATTTCCATTCCTGATTTTTTTATTCTGACGTATTTTGCTTTTAAAATTGCAATTCAAACAATTCGGATTTTACAATTTAAGAATGCGCAAAATTGGATATAAGAGGTCATCGATCGAAAAGTGAGTTCAATAAATTAGCTCGGCTCGTCAATGAGGATTACGTCGTGGCGCATTAATTACATCGAGAATTATGTCGTGTTTCCTATCGGAATGAAATTATAATTTTATCAATTTCATATTAGCACTTCTCGTACATAAAACAGTTTAATTAATTATGGAATAGTCAGGTAAGTCCAGCAACCAACAGCATTCTCTACAATCATGTTGGAAACTGTACAATTTGTGGTAATTATATCACAATTTTTTCAATTTATTACATTTATTACTTTTGAAGTTTCAATAATATTAAAACAATTGCCATTATTATAGAACTCGCATATCGTCAAATTATACTCTGAGATAGAAAGATCTTGTTGAAATCTAATGAAAGATCTCAATTCGTTCATTCTTTTAGAACAGTTATTGTAGCTAAATTTGAAACTCACATAAGAAAAACTTCATTATCTTAATTAAATTTTAAAGTCTTAAACTATTATCAATTCTCAGAATACCTGACTTTAAACTTTTGATTACAATATGTAATTTAAATTGAGTATTTAGAGCATCTAAATTCTTAAATTATTAATATGTTAAAATCTCTCTATTTATTTAGCTGTATAAACTTCTGTAGATCAAAAATGACAAATGTGTCATTTAAAGTAGTAAATGGACAATGCTTAAAAAATCAAGTCATTTAAACGAAAATATTTAACAATCTCAAATGTTGTGACAGTTGCTGCAATTGTCCCTCAAAAATGAATAAATCCGAGCAAATCTGCTCATAACTCACTCGATATTTTCTTCCACAAAACGCGATTTAATAGAATACATCAGCGTGTCGTGGCACGAGATCGCGGTATACCGCGTGTATCATTAATTATCGTGATTGTCAATTAATCACCGGTGTTGGATCGGGTGTCGATCTGCCGACAATTTCTGCTACTTCTAACCTTTCAACCTGAAAGCTATCGAATTCGATCCGCGAGTAATTGCATCGATCGATGCCAGATCGGCTTCGCTTTCGCGACAACGATTGAACGATACTCGCGCTCGATAGAAAATCACGTGCGAGAAATATTAGTAGTAATGAAAAATGGTGAATATTTCGAAAAATTCATGTAAAATCTCATTTTTAGAAATAGCAATCGAATCGAAAGCTTGATGTGCACAATTTCATGAACAATTGACAAAAAACTAATAAGGCTTTAATTACTGTTTCTCTATCAATTAATTTTTATTTCAAAATTACAATCAAAAATCAAAAATAATAAAAAATCCAAATCAAGAATAACAAAATATTTAAGAAATTAAGTATCAAAAAATTACTTTCGTGTATTTCTGCATCGCTCAAGTATTACAAATAATTCTCTAAATTGCTTAATAATGTAAAGATGAAAGGAAAAAGGATTAATTACAATCAATGTGATATAATAATCGTAATTGACTTTATCAGTCTGTTAGCAATTTATGATGAAAATATTAAAGCCTTCATTTATTCAAATATTATTTAAATAAATGATGTATCCCCATCTTATAATTTTATATAAAATAGCTAAAGATAATCGGATTGACAACTAGTTCAAAACGTTATTTTGGGCGACCAAGTCTCGAGTACACTTCATACACAAATCCTTTTATCTTTTGTGCATATTCAAATGCACTTACGCAATACGTCTGCAGAATTTCATGTTCCCGACTTGCAAAACGTTTACCGCGTCTATAAACTTCTGACGTTATCTCTATACTCTGCTTTAAAATGCAGTAATAATTCGATAATATAGATTACATATTTGAAAATTTTGTTAAAGTACGAAGTTTCGTTACTCACATTAAAGAGACAAAAGCCCCTTGTCAATCGTTCATAAAACAGTCGGTTGGCAGCTGTCAATATCTGTAACGTTATCTAATCAGCCAATACAAATAACGTTAAGAAATTAATGTAAAAACGTTCAAATATCAACGTTCGAATAATGATACACGCAGATAAATTCCTAGCTTCTACGCGACAATCTAACAATTTTCATTTTCACTGCAATTATTCTATGTCACTTTTATCGATAGCGTTTCTTTTCTGAGGCAAAAAAGTGAAACTTTGTGCGTAATAAAATTCACTTGTCTCGTACAAGAATCGACAACATTCTCATCGTTATTAACGCAAGGCACTTTCGCTACCATAGACGTAGAAAAGTAGACTGCACATTCCCTGATTGTAACATCTGTGCTCGATTTAGAAAGAGAACGCAATGTTGGTAATCATATCTGAATTTCTCTTCAATATTTCAGACAATATTAATATATTGAAGGCTCTAACGAATATAAGTAAAAAGTTCATACCATCATAAACCGACACTGATTATTGTGTCTAACAGATTTAATTTGCAATATAATGGATAAAATCAACTCAATATTTTAGAGAGAGAAAAAGAAAGAGAACACTATATATGATTTAAGCTACACATTACTCTCCCTAAATCGAATGACAACTTCATAGAAATGCAGTCTTCTTAAAGGCTTTCTACAATAAGCTATTGCCTATGCTTAAGTCTTAAACCGTAAAAAATGGACTAATCGTAGTCAATTATTCTTTTCACATTGGACTGTGACCAATCAATTTTTTACGGCTTAAGACTTGAAGCTTAACCCTCCAACATGTTTTTTTCACTGCTTTCTTAGTCCAACCGGATCACTAATTATGTTTTTTAAAAGGTTTTTGAGATCTAAAAAATTAAAAAAAAAATCACGCTGTTTCACAACATTCAAAAATACAATTTTACAATGCTACGAGGATAGTTTAATAAGTGACTTTTTTTAAATTTTTGTATATCAAAATTCGACTTATTTTTCAACATAGTCTCCTTTTACAGAATCATTGACTCATTAAACTGCTCACGTATGATCCGAAACGATTTTCACTTTCTTTGTACGTGTCCGAATTTGAGGAAGAATGATTGAAAATTCGCCTGGATCTTCAAAGTCTCGGTTGAACCATGGAGGATTAAATAACGACTTATTGTAGAATGTGCGTTACGTCTACGTTCGCTACAGCAGTTGCGTTCCGAAGAAAGTGTGCAAGACTCGCGAGATAATCGCGTGAACGCTCCGCTCTCGGAGCGACGGGTTGGAGCATATTCTGCAGCCACGACGTTCTCATTGTCCGAGCGACGCGACGTGAATTCGACTTCGACTTGGACGACGACGACGCGACACGACACGATATACGATAGACGCGGAACCGAGCGGAATTCGCGTGGCGCTTCCGGGCGCAAGAATAGACATGTTGATCACCAGCACGCATACGTTTTCCTCGTGTGCACTGAGAAACTGATGCGCGGCTAGCCGCGGCACGCGGCTGTCCGAGAACATTCACAGAAACCTCACAGGGCCCGCTGCTTGTCTCCGTCGCTGCGCGTTTCCACCAGACGCGAATGCGACGACCTCGGCGACAATAACAATGTCAACAACGACGACGACGACGACGACGACGACGACGACGACGACGGCGGTGGCGGCGATGGTGATGACGTTAAAAACTCGCGGCGCATCGTCCTCACAGAGCGTTTCCGTTCGTTTCGACAAAACGCTCGTCGGTCTAATCTGCAAGCGCGCGTAACGTAATGCGCCCGGTTATCGTGGATGACGATAATCACAAACTCGGTCTGCAACCGTCCGGCAGGAAAAGAACGACGGCGATGACGATCCCTCCGATCGCGACGCGCGCGCGAATGGATCTGCGGCACCCGGTGGAGCAGCGTAAACACGGGGCGCGGGTAACCGGTGGGTTCGAAAATTCAAATCCGCCGCGCCGCGCCGCGTCCCGCCACTACGGCCGACTGATCGACGTCGACCTAACCTCAACCACGGCTGCGGTGTCCGCGACCAGTACCTCGACTGGCGACCGGTATCACCCCCGTGCTGTGTAACGCACTGCTCGCGTTAAGAGTCAGGTGAATGAAAGAGCGAGAGAGATAGACAAACAGACGGTAATTGAGAGAGGGGGGGGAGGAAGAGCGAGACAGAGAATATGATAGAACAGGAGTACGAGCGGACGAAACGAGAAAGAGAGACAGAGAGGGGGAGAGAGAGAAAGAGAGAGAGAGGATGCCACCAGGCCCCGTGCGAGCAACCTCGTGGACATGCGAGTGCAGACTGATTGGAGCGTAGAGTGTGAGGGTACTTACCCACGAGTCGTGGGATCGGTGGCGGTTTTTTTTTCAGCCGCCATGACTGGCGCCACCGTAGCGACTACTGCCCGTTCGACCTCCCTCGCGCATGCGCGACTTGCGCAGTCGCGCGCCGCGCAGCCACGCGCGACGCTTCCCGCAGCTCTCAATTGCGCACCGAACGCGCACCCAGCAACATCGTTCATCTTTCTATCCGCGAACGCGCGCTCCGATTTGGATGGTGCTTTCACGCGTTCTCCTGTCATATGCCACTTCAAAGAAATTCGATGAAGCGTTTAGTCGTATTCTGCTATGTGGAATTGACACCAACCGTGGTCACTCCAATTTCGAATATGTTAGCAGTGAACACTGAATATACATAAGAAAATTAGAATCAGACAGCCGTATTTGATTTCGAAAGTACCGTGCAAATTTTCACTTTAATCCGTGTTGTATTAAAAAATGTGGAATACGTGCAACTGCGATTTTATTCAATCAAAGCTGTTAGAAAGATTATCGATTCACGTTGTGAAAACATTCATAGTGCGACTAGATACAATATTTTTAGATTTTGTATTTCATTTTATGCGGATTTTGGAGCATTAAAAACTTTTTAACTGTTTATTGTATTGTAATAACCTATGTTTGAATTGATGTAGTACAAATTGATGTTCTGGTTATACACTGACTACTTTGTACTAACAATTATTATTTCATATTCCATAATCAAATAGTATTATATGCATTACCGTTTGTTAATTTGTTTTTTTTTTTATATTAAAAGGAATATCATATACCTACCTTCGATACAAAGTTACAATTTATAAGGATTTTCTATATTCCAAAATTTTATTAGTCTATGATTTTGATTTGAATCAGATATATGTAAGAATAAAATACACAGATGAAAGCACAATGGGGAAAAAAGGCAGAGAAAAGGTCACATCAGTAATCTGAAAATAAAACAAAATAACATTAATTTTTAAATATAAAATTGTTTTATATATGTTTCGTAAAAATTTTGCAAAGGAATGTATAAATGTCAATTTAAAGTGATACAGTACTTCAAGAATCACAAACGATTGGCTTTATATAGTTTTTATTTAAAAAAAAGACAATTTTCTAAAGAAAAGCCGAGATATATTTAACCGATATTTAAAGATGAGTTACCAGAAATAATTAATTTGCTATTAATTAATTTACGATCCAATTCTTAAAGAATTATTAAATATGTACGATGGTGAAACCTTTTCGAGTTTCGTGCATGTAATTAATTAATTTAATTGTCCTATCTAATATTACTGAATGCACACGCGCGCGGCTTCAGGATTCATATTTCCAAACTATGAATTGCATTCGTAAAACAACTACCAATAATTAATCAGTAAACTAATAATCATAACAATACTTGAGCCATTAATATCCGTTAATTAATACAAAGAAATATCGCTATCAATCGTTTCCATACTAGTCAATTAAAATTCAAAACCAGAAAATTTCTTTCTTCAATTTTTAATAACTTGATAGACTGAATACGACATCTAGTGGATGATGAAGAAATTAGAAAGTATAGAAAATTTAATTACCCAATCAATTTTAAAGAATATTTTAATAAATATCGAAAAATTAACAAATTCCAGATGAATTATTGTTAAAAATATAAATTAAAAAGACACCTACACTGAAACGATTTATCACTACGATGTAGAAATATATTATTTACCAATTTTTCACGGCATTCCTTTTCGAATAGTAGTTATAAACATCTTATTTGTAATCATATGAAAATTTTCTTGCCTATATAAACAGCCTTTATCAATCAATGCTCTAATCTAAAAAATATATTTACTGATTCTCAGACCGACAGAGAATCGTGAAATAACACGAGTGGCGCTCTCTGTGGTCAAAAAATAGTACTCTTTGTTTCTACGAATAATCCGTGGTAAATTTTAAGTATTTGAGATTATAATAAAAGCTTTAAAGTATGAGAATGTTTTTTATTCCTACATTAGAACTCTTTCTCGATTTTGTCAAATGTCAAACATATACTTATCTTTAGATTCCAAAAGTATACACTAATTCAGCCACCGAAAACAGATCCCATGTATATCTACATATACGTTTAACTAAAAAATTTTAAAAATTAATTTAGTTTTTTAAAATATGTAAAACAAATCTCTCTATTAAACTAAGAACTTTAAGGTATATATATTTCATATAGTTAAAACTGGGAATAAGTCGTGTATATATATATATATATATCGCTAGATTTAACAATAAATTATATAAAAATCACTGTTGACATGGAAGTTTGCGTGACTGTCAAAATTTCGACGATTTATAAATTTAATTTCAGATATATATATGTGCACGAATAACAAATATTTTTATTTCTTCTGTTATCTGCATTAATGTTTATATCTGATGATTATTCATGCAGGTAACAATTAGAGAAAAATGTAGTAATACATTGTATATGATATTGTTACGGGATAAATATGTATGCTTACTTATAAAACGCTTGTACAATAACATATCAAATTTAACATTTGCATTTTAAACAAATTGTTTACATCAGTAGTACAGCTCAATATACAATTAAAACATCAAATATGTATGTTCTTTATTTAGCGGCTTATCAATAAAGGGATTCTAAACATTAAAGTTTTTCACAAAAAATTTTATATCATTCGTATTGAAAACTGTTAAAAACAAGAAATGTTGTTTACGTATAAATAATGCATCGTGGCAGCCAATGTAATATATTATTAATAAACTTGATCAATAATATATTGCCATTATTTATATATATATTACAATTTATATTTAAAACTTTGAAATCTTCAGATATTGTATCCTAAAAATTTTCTGGATACAAAATATTTCTGAATTAACTTAAATCTATATAATAATTACATTTTTGTACGTAATAAGAGAATATTTCTATATACTATTATTTCTATTAACAGAAATTAAAAGAAAAAATTTACAAATTATTTTTTTGTAAATAGGATCATAAAAAAGAAATTATTTTTAATTATTCATACACAATTAGCGATAGGAGAAATCTCTCATCTCGGTAATTAGATATTTGATTTTCGAAATTATATTAATACAGTGTTCGGCAACAGGTGAAAACTTAAAAAAGTAATTCTAGATAAAATAAGATAAAAATCGATAAGAAAATTGCTTCGTTTTTTAATTGTGTTTAAATATTCACATAAAATCTTTAAAATGCATAAATATTTAAATGAAACATTTAAATATTTCTGTGGGTTTCTGTGGGACTACATACGTAGTATATAAATTCACATAAGAATCATACAAGCATTAAGATTCAGCTAGACCGTTTATTTAAGGCTTTGATTTCTATAGTTTGTGTTAAATGAAACATTTACAATTAAAGGATAGAGCCGAATTCATAATTTTGCTTTTTTAATTCTATTTTATCTATTGCCAAACATTTCGTATATTTAAGCAAAAAGCTAATTGACTGTTAACTTCAAAAGATACCTTGTAAAAATATACCTTAATAAAGCGCCGTATCAATTCTATACCACATAATTGGAGTTGAAGAGGGAAAGAAAATGATTGCAACACTGTATACTTCAATATATGAGTAAAACAAAAATATGTTTGTAATAATACATATTACACAGTCTATGATCTATCTTCAGTTGTACTGTATATAACTGAATAAGATTGAAGATTATTAAATAGTGCATCCTCATTTTCCTTTTCTGATTCGATTTGTGGTATGGTCTGTATAATGTTTTGTGATAAAAGCCCTTCTTCTATTTCTATGAGCGCAGTCTCAGTTTTCAATTCTTCCAACGTAACATGACTTTCTTCTGATTTTTGCTGAAGAACATTGGTTGTTTTTATGTTTTTTTTACGCTTTTCCTTAGGTCGGTTCTCATGGACTCGCATATGTCGTCGTAAATCGTATTTACCGATGAATCCCATGCCACAATTATCACAATTGAATGGCCTGACTTCAACGTGATTGAACATATGCCTCCTCAACGCTGCACTAACAGTAAATGCTTTTCCACATACATTACATATGTGAGGCTTCTCACCAGTGTGCAATAATGTATGATCTCGTAATGTAGCACGTTGATTGAAGCTATAATAATCAGATATAAGAATGTTTACATTAAATATTATATTGAATGAAATATACAGATATTGTCATCAAAAAATTTAATCCAAAATTTTTTAAAAGAAATTTATAATACTAAAATATTATTTATATAACAAAGATGTTAATGAACAGTATAATATAATAAT